CAGCCACGAGGCTCCCAGGGCTCCACTTACCTCTTGTACTCGTCCTTCTGGGACGTGGCACAGTTAATGCGCTCAATGAAGCCGGTCAGGCTGCACTCGGGCATCGTTTTCTGCAATCAGAGCAGACCCATGGCCGCAGTCAGGGTGGGCCAGGCGCCCCCTCCACAGGCCTGGGCCAAGCCGAGCGGAGGGAGAAGCCGGCACCAGGGCAAGAGGAGCCCCCTTGCCCGGCTCTCACCGCCTCGAAGGTGGTGCACTGGGTGCACTCCTGGGCCACCACGAACTCCTCCACGTGCCAGCACGGCGTGGCCGCCACGGGGCTCACTGAGGAGAAAGGGGAGCTCAGCACTGGCACCGGGCGGCCGCCTCCGGGAAGGTTTCGCCCCAGGATCATGGCCGGGCCGGGCCGACCCTGCCCCGGGGGATACCCACCTAAGCGCTTGTCGCTGCCGGGCCCCGTCGCCTCCGCGGGGCTGCGGGGAAAGAGGTGGTCAGCGGCAGCCCAGGCCCACCCCCGGGTACCGGCCCCACACCCAAGCCCCCAGGCTAGCGCGGCGCAGAGCAGGGCCCAGCGGAGCGGGTCGGCCATGGCCCGGGCGGCTGCGGCTCGTCCCACTTCGCTCACGGCGCCGCCATCTTGGCCCTCACGGACTTCCGGGAGCGGCGAGACGCCAGCGCATGGGAAGCCGGGAACCGAGGAGAGGGGCTTCGGTGATGGACACAGCGCCCCCTGCCGCTGGGGTCGAGCCCCGCACGTGGGCCGGGACTGGAGCCCTGTCCCACTGCCCCTCCAGCACCAGCTGCCCACCCCTCCTCCGGTGCAAGGACCCGGCCCCCGCCCCACGGCGCAGACACGGACACGGACACGGACACGGACACAGACGTGACAACCCAGGGCTTTATCACAGTGACTGGGGACCGTGGCTGGCGCTGCTGCGACAGGCGGTGGCACAGAGGCTCCCAGCCCCGCGGCGGGTCTGGGATCCTGACCCCCTGGGGCTAGCACAGGCGCCGCTTCGCTCCGCTCACAGCCACCCTCAGTCCACGGGTGCCCCCGGCTCGCTCTGCTCCCGCCCTGCACAGTGTCCGGGGGCTCCAGCCCCAAGTATTGGCCCGGCAGCTCTGGGGTGTGACCCGCACAGTCCCGGAGCAGCAGGAGGGGGCGAGGGTGGCACAGGGCTATGGTCTCAGGATTGGGGCTCCAGGTGGTTGTGGGCGCTAGGCCACGGAGCATCTGCTGCCACTCTTCTTCTGCGAGGCTGCCAGGTCCAGGTGCCCCTTGCTGCTCGCGCCCTGGAAGCACAAGGGGCAGAGAGAGGATGCTGACCCCGGCCCCGCCTGCCCCTGGCAGGAGGGGCAGAGCCGGGGCCGGGGCCGGGGCCGTGCTACAGGGCAGGCTGGAGGGGCCCTGCCTGGCACCAGCGCCTGCTTGTGAGCCTGTGTCCCAGCCCGGTCCACTAGGCCTTGTGGGGCCGCGGGGAGCTGGAGGCCCGTGCCCTGGGCCAGGCCCCTGCACCTCTGCAGTGCCCCCAAGCAGAGCTGCCCCAGGCCCATCCCCGTACTCACCACTTTCTTGGTGGACTTCAGTAGGATGTCCCGGGCCAGCGTAGTGAAAGCCTGAGGGGGAAGAGGAGTTGTCAGAGGCTCCGGAGGGAGCCAAGGGGCTTCCTGGCATCAGCAGGACCCAGGGCAGGGGAGCCAGGTCCTCAGTGCCCCCAGCCCAGCCCCGCCCAGGGGGCAGGAGTCTGGCTGCCCCCAAGGCCTCAGCACTCATTTCTAGCCCTGTCCGGGCCAATGCAGAGCAGGCACTAGCCTAAGGTCCCCACCCCTGCATTGTGTGGAGGGACCCGCAGGCCCGAGCCCTGCCCTGCTCCACTCACCTCCTCCACGTTCAGGCTGGACTTGGCACTGGTCTCAAAGAACCGGATCCCGTGCTCCTTGGCCAGCTGCCGTGAGAGAGGGGCCCGGTGAGGCAGCGCCCCCCACCCCTGCCCTCCTCTGGGGCCCAGCACAGCTGGGGCAGCTGACGGGGACATGACCGAATCCAGCAGGCCCCTGAGCCCCGGGCAGTGGAGACACGACCCACCCACAGAGCTGGTCCTGGCCCTAGGGCCCCCCTGCACTCCCCTCCCTGGCCCTACCTTCTCCGCATGGTCCCGCTGCACCTTGCGTTTGCCGTCCATGTCGCACTTGTTCCCCAGCAGCAGGCGCTCCACGCCTGCCGAGGCATTCTGGGTAGAGCAAAGCCAGCAGTGAGTGCTTCCCCTGGGCCCCACATCCTGCCAGCACCCCCCAGCCACCAACTGGTGCTCCAGTGCCTCACACCCACCTCCCTGATGCTCTTCATCCAATTCTGGATGTTCTCAAAGGACTTCTCATCTGTGATGTCGTAGACGAGAATGATCCCCTGCAACACATGTGCTCTTAGCAGGGCCAGACCCTCATCAGCACTGGAGCTCAGTGCTCCCAGACCAGGAGGAGCTAGGACAGGGTCTCCTCCTCCCTCCAAGAAGGAGCCTGGAAGGAACTGCACCCCCTGCCCCACCCCCTGCCCTGCCAAGCTCTCTACCATGGCTCCTCGGTAATAGGCCGTGGTGATGGTTTTGAACCGTTCCTGTCCCGCTGTGTCCCTGCAAGAGAGTGTCAAAACCAGGGTCAGCTCCTGTCCCTCGGCACCATGGAACCTGCCCCCCCGGTGCTGCTACCTGGCAGGCAGGACCCCTACACCCCCTGGCAGGGGCCGACTGAGGGGTACCAGGTGGGGCAAAGGGACCCAGATTCCCACTTACCAGACCTGGAGCTTGATCTTCTTCCCCTCAATCTCCACAGTCCGGATTTTGAAGTCAATCCCTGGGAGGCAAGAGGGATGCCGGCTGTCAGGGATACAGTAAGTACCAGGGGCCACATGTGTCTTGGGGGCTGCTGAAGAAGCTGCAGGCACTGGTGGAGGGGGCAGGATGCCTGGGCAGTGCAGGCAGGTCAGCTCAGAGCAGCACCAGCCAGGGAGGGGCTGAGAGGTTGCATCCCCCAGGTCCCAGGGCTGGGGGCCGGCTCCTGCTGGCTTGGCTTAGCCCCCAGAAGGGTCCCCCAGGCCAGCACAGAGGTGGCAGCTTGTCAGCCCAGTATGTGCTGGCCCCAGTTACAGGATTGGGAGCAGCTGGGAGCAGAGCTCTCTGGGCTGGGAGAAGAGGGGAGGGCCTCGGGGAGAGGAAGGGGTGGCAGGGACAGACCCCCAGCCCCTGCCCAGAGCACAGGCACCATAGTCAGGAGCAGCCTTGTCACTGGAATTCCCCTCCAGCAGCTGAGCTCTGCCAGGGCAAGCTCCCAGCTGGCAGGCGGGAGGGAGCGCGAGTGTCTGCGTGTACAGAGCCCCGGCCACACACACACCCGGGCTGCTCAGCCACCCTGGGGCCAGGACACTCCGTGCCAAGTGGGCAGAAGCCGGCCCCCACCATGGGGGCTCCAGTGCTGGGCTGCAGGGATGCCAGGAGGGGTGGGGGCAGCATAGGCACAGCTGAGGCCTTGCCCAGGGGAGGGGGCAGGGGGCACCCCAGAGCTGGCAGGGGCTCCTGCCTCACCAGCAGGATGGGGTGGGGGGCCTTGGGACAGGGTCTAGGATGTGCCAGGTCTGAGCTAAGCCATGGGACGGAGGCACCGCTGAAACCCAGGGGTCCTGGGCTCTAGCTCCTGCCCCAGCACCAGGGACAGGATGTGACCCGGAGGAAGTGCAGGGCAGGCAGCAGCCAGACCTGAAGCATATCCCCACAAGCTGGGTGCACTGCTGGGGCCACCCTGAGCCCCCCTCCCCATCCCCTGCACTTTGTGAGCCCACGGGCTGCTCTGTGCCCAGCCTGTGGGGCTGCCAGCACCAGGCACAGCTGGACAGATACGTGGATGGGACGGTGTCACTCTGCTAGCGAGGTGGGGGTGCAACTGCCCCTCGATGGGGCTCAGAGCAGGTCCTGCCCTAGGTCCCCTTGCCTGAACAGGACAGTGAGACGCCCCGGGTCAGTGGCAGAGGCAGGGGTTGTGCTGGGGCATCGGGCCCCTCTGTGCCTGGGGAGCTCTGGTGGGGGCTGGGCTGGGGGCTCACCAATGGTGGAGATGTAGGTGCTGCTAAAGTTGTCCTCGGCAAAGCGGATGATGAGGCAGGTCTTGCCCACGCCGCTGTCCCCGATTAGCAGCAGCTTGAAGAGGTGGTCGTAGGACTTGGCCATGGCCCCGACCGGGCCTGGCCCAAACTTTCCTGCTGCTGGAAAGAGGCAAGAAGCAGCAGCGGCTCCTCCCTGCCCGGCCCCCGCCTCCTCGGCTGGGAGGGATAGGCCCCGCGCGCGGACCCTCCCCCTGCCCTGGGACGGGACTGGACGAGGCCAATACCCCAGGACCAGCCAGCGGGGTCTGCGCCCCGGGCTGTGGGGCATCGCTGGGGGGGCAGGAGCTGCAGGTGGGGAGTGAGGGGCACCAGCAGGGCTGGAGGGGGAAGAGGCTGCGGGTGGGGAGTGAGGGGCACCAGCAGGGCTGGAGGCAGAAGAGGCTGCGGGTGGGGAGTGAGGGGCACC